CAATTATTTTACTTGTGATTATGTTGCACTTATCTTTCTTGAATGAAAGAAACCTCCCCCTCCATTATAGATAAGTTGTTCCCAGGTAGTTTGAGGATGTGGAGTAAGGTTTTTAGTTGCATCAGAAGATCAGTTGCCAAGGAACTAATGAAGACCATTGAAGGTCCTGACCTGCATCAGTGTGTCAGCTTTATACAAGCTCTCATCAGAATGTGGTTACTCCCTAGCAGAGGAAGAAAGAAAAGTTGTAACTAATTAAAGAAAGATATTTAAGTCAGAAGATGCAGCTTTGAGTAAGCATTACTTACTAATGAGTAAGTATCACTTACTAATGGTTGTATGATTCTAGTTTAGACTTGTTATTTCAGTTTTATTTTCCTTATATGGGTGACTAGGACTATTATACTACTTACCTCAATAGGGTGTAGTGAGCCAAATGAACCAACATATGAAGAATGAGTTTATAAAACACTATGTAATTAGTAAATAGTATAACTGCTATAAGCTAGCATGGTGCCACTGGAAATTTCAATTGTACGTTAAAGCATAAGGAACACAAGTTGTTTCTGCCCCTTTCTCAGTTTATAGTTGTTTAAAATGCATAGTGCCTTGACATATCTCATCCTAAACACTATGAAATCACAATGATTTCAGATGAAAGGGCCAAAACGTATAAGGGAGGGTATGTGTGCAGGCCCATGCAAATAGCAGGAGGTGTTATTAACAAGATCTTTGCAGTATCACAATTGAACAGGTTTAAGAGAACTTCCTCCAATACATGATGCTGAAAATATATTTTTTGTCCACTGACTCAGTCAACATTCTATACAGTCAAATAACCACAGTAGTTTGAAAGTAGAATCTCTAATCAGAAGTTATTGGAATTTTGAAATTCTTACACTTTGGAGGCATGGAGTAATAAATAATGTTTAAAATCAAAAAGTTTTATAAGAAGAAAATGTTGAGAGAGGATCTTGTTCATGTCACCAATGTCTCTGAAATCACTCTCACACTGTTATGTGCTTGTCATAAGTCACTAGTCAGTTGATTGACTATTTAAGGCCTCATTCTCCCTCCCCCACTGGAAGGAGGGTAGTAACATCTGATATTCTTTATAACCAATGGTTGCCAGGATCCATTTTATAAACTGCAATGAGGGCAGAAAGAAAAAAAGTATATAAAAATATTAATGTTATTTGGATGCAACCTACAAAATATTTTATAATTTTTTTATTCTCAGAGAAACAAACCAACCAGAGTTAATCAAGCATAGTCTGCACAGATGAGTAAGTGTGTACACATCAATGGGCATATGCAGTGGATGGTAAAAACATATGGAACATATCACATCCCAAACACCAAAGAGTTCTGAGGAATAATTAATGAGATGCATAAATATGGACAAAATAAGCCCATTTTTATATCTTCACATTATTAAACATAGAACAAATCTTCCTTCCGCTAGTTGGTTTATCTTATAACAAATTTCTGACACAAAAGAACATTTGTTTCATATTTTATTGAATTTCATTTATATTAAATTAAAAATATATTTCTGACAGATTCATGTAACAAAAAGGCAGAACAGTTTTCAAATTGTTCAGCTGGGATGATCAGTATGGAATGAGGCAAAGCAGTTCGCATTCTATAATTGCCTTGTACAGGTACAATTCTTTCCCAAGAGCCAAAAGAGGATCCTTGAGAACTAACTGAAAAGCCTAATTACATAAATGTAAAATACTGTTTCTCCCTCATTCTCAAATAACAACAGGAATGAGGGAAAGGAAGGAGGATGGGTAAAAGGTTGGAGGAGAAGAAAGAATAAGAGAAAGTATACTAAAAATATACCTAACATTAAAAAAGTTAGTATGTGTTAGGTGCATACTCCTTCATCAATAACATAGAAAAAAATCAAAATAACATTACACCACACACAATTGGCATATCCTATTGTGTAAGCGAGTGCAGAGGTTGAACACATCACAATAGTGCTGAACACAGAATCACAAGTAATGTCAAAATGATAACTTCCAACCAAAAAAGAAACAATCACAAGCCAATTACTTATATACAAATCAACCCTAAAGACAATTATGTTCCAAATAAAGATGTCCACAAAAGAAAATCAAAGCAACATTATACTTATTTACAAATGCAACTAGCCATGTCTTTAACAAGCTATAAAAATACTATTCACATTTTCAAACATACAGTAGTATTTTTTGTTTGTTTATTTCAAAAAGGCAGCTAACTTTGAATGCATGGATTTAAATAAAACATTGATGGCTTACCAGCAAGGTATTTTTGCACCCCAATCCTTTGAAGATACTTCACAAGAGAGAGGGCTTGTTTTCTGCTTACAAGTTAAGAAAATAAGGAAATGAGTACAAATGTATATACCTTAAGCCTCTGCCTTTTCAGTGAAGTGACTCCCTCTCTCACCCAAACTGATGTCAGTAAATTACTTTGATGCATGTGTCAGATGAATGTTTGAGAGTAGATTTAAGATGACTTTTTCTGTGCTATGAATTGTCTTGCACATTGATCTCATGTTCATTTGATCTTCTTGTAATGGTGCTCAAGAAAGAGATGAACTAGTCATACCATGTGAAAATGCGGTTTCAACATGCAGCCACGCAATCCCTGGTGCTCTCAACATGAGAAGGAGACACACCAGCAAGGGAGACATGCATTCAAAGTTAGCTACCCTCACACAGCTGCTCCGTTTAATAATCGACCCATTTAACAGCAGTACCAGTTTATGCTACATATTTCAAAGTACCTTACTTTAAAAGAACACCTTACATATCTACATGTAGAAAATAACTTTCGTAGTTGATTACTGGAGTAATCCCAAAAGGGTTCTTGGAGTGCTATGGTTGTAGTCCCCTCACTCCCCCCTCCCAGCCCCTGAGAGATCCAGAAATATACAGGAAAATGACTCTCACATTAAGGGAAAAGGACAACCCCCGGTTAACTAAAAAATCTGGAAATGACACTTGAAAACCAGATTCATGTCAATATATAGGAGGTATGATTTGCTTTCCTTCACAAAGGCTATAGACCTGGGGGAAATATCTACACATTAGGGATAAAAATCGCAGTAAAGGCAAAGTGGTTTGGACAAGTTAGACTATTGCCTACAGGTATGAATCTTTGTTTTCCTATATTTGTATATTTGCACAAATAGAATCACTTCTCATGATATAGGGAAAGCTCACTAGATCATGAAAAGAAAAATGTCCATAAAGAGCAAAAGTAGATAAAGGATGGCATTCTATTAGACAACATGGATTTTTATTAACATGAACTGCACTCATTATGTATTTGTTAGATGGATGAATGATCCAACAAATAATTGCAGTTGGTTCTCAAAGCCGAATAGCCTTTACCTTTATGATAATAAGACTCGCCATTTGGGGAAAAAAAAATTACAGCAGCTGCAAAATATTTATGATTAGGAATAAAATAAGATGAATAAAGTCAATAAGTTAATTTGTTGGTAAAAATAACTTCTTGGTTATATGTACAGCTTTTATGTAAAGATTAAATTGAAGTTCTACCAAGGGTCTGTGGACATTATGTGAGTTTCGAGATTCATCACAGGGCTAACTCGTCTCAAATTCCTATAGGGAAGGACACAGAGAATTGATCTTCATGGGAAACCATCATTTTAATAGCTTAAATATTCTCTATGCAGTAGTTTGATAGTTCATTTAAACAGTGTCCAAATTGCCAGAATCTCTTATGAAAAAATCAGGCATTCGAGGACAAAGACGAAGTCAGTATTTCACAAAGTGGGGTGTGGGATCTCAGCGATCCACTATGGCTTAAGAAAGGAACAGGACAGCATCGGGGGACTACGTTGAACCAGGGTGGCAGAAAGGGAAGAGAACAGTGCCAGTGGTGTCAATGGGCAAAAAAGGGAAGGATTCTATTTTCCTCTAAAGGTCAGAGAGAAATAAATTTTTCTGTGATTCCTAACAAGGTAATCACTTACTTGCAAAGCTGACTGTCAAAGAGTATTTTCTAGAAGAAGTATGTGAACACCCCCGTGAAACTGGGACTGAGAGTCATTTTAGCTCATGACTATAGAAGCATTTACTTCTGCCCACAATATCACCTGGCCAGGAATTAGATAAAGCAGGGGCCTGCAAAAGTGACAGATCCTACATTTTTGGACCTCTACAAAATCAGTGAGACTTGAACCGAGTATCTGAAATTTCTATTATTTTAGAGAGACTTTTAATGAAAAGAAAACAGCAGCTCACACTGCTAAAAGATATTTGCCCATACAAACACAGGGGCCCCTGGCCCGACGCAATGCCCATAACAGCTTCTTGTTTCCAGCTGCAGAGAGAACTCAGATCTCTGGGATCAGAAAAATTGTATTAATTCTACCCAGAAGTATAAAAACTGGCCCCATTGTAATATCAGTAATCATGAGGTCTCCACTGATAATAATCTTTTAAAATTATACCTGATCTACATCTGTATAATATTTGTTCTTAAGCAAATAGCAACCAGGGGATACCAATCTGCATTTATATGTTTACATGGGGCAAGGCTGTCCTTCAAACTGATACACATCAAAGTCCACATACACAGAGGCACAGTAGGATCCTCTGCCCACAGTATATACAGTAGAAGTTAATTTATCTGTTTTTTTAAACAACTAGAAGCTGATGCAACTGGATTTCTTGTTTGCCCTATAACAATCATCATTCTAATAACTAAAATCCAAAAGAATGGCAATGCAGTACTTTGGAACACTTGGTTTAGCATTTATTTATCAGAAAAATTGTGATTTTTTGTTGTCATTTTTGGAGGCAAGAGGGCATAGTGAGTAAAGAAAGGACATATCACAAATTAACTGTATTTTGTTTGCTAAATGACACCACTCATTTTTTTTTTGTCTCTGCATAAGGTAATAGAACATTTACATTTCCTTTACTTCATCTTGAAGACCCCTACTTAGTCATATGTAACATGTTTGCCTGTTAAATTCTGCAAGGTGGTGTTTATTTAAAAAAATAAATAAATAAAATTTTCTTTACATTTAAAAAGTGATAAAGGAATAAGAGAATGAGAAAAAATTGTTCATTGTAATGCTTTAAAGCAAGTTTTCACAAGTGGAACCATATATGCCTACTTTCAGCTAAACCCAACAAACGACAATTTTAAATGGCAAACTTATTTTTTTACTATGCAAAATCCATCCTACATTTTAATATCCTGCATTTAACTTTGCTATATTATACTTGTGGTTAGTTTTCTAGTTTGATTTATTTAATAATATTAAAATCATTTAACATCTGATAACCTAACTAAATCTACATCTTATAGCATTATCGTGTTCTGTCCAGTTATATACATGCTTTCATGATCACCTTTTCTATTACCTTATGAACTACATATACTAGTTAAATTATCAACAATTACAGATGGATGAATAATTCCAGTTTTGAAATAAAGGTTAGACAGCTTTAGAAAAACTTGTATTTACATCCTTCCCTGTCAGGCTTAAACAATTTTAATTTTCTTTTCATTTTTGATACTTCAAGAAGCACATTAATAGTCCTTCCAACTTCATCTAGCAGCAGAGCCTCACAGTTCTTTTCTTGATTTTTCCTTAGCATTGTAAATATGCACAATCTTCATGCCATGTCTTTCTTTTAGAAGGTATTAGCTCACACACTATAGCATTTAGAAGAACACTATTTCTTCTCTTAAGTTAGATATTCAGTCCTTCTCCCTAATCTACAAAAAAGAATCACTTGATTTTAGTTTGTGTGTTTTAATAGAAATTTGAGTTTTGCATCGTTTTTCATGCTAGTTTAAGAATGTTACTGGAGAAAAGATTCTCATCCTAAGCTGTGCTACTAATATTGTGCAGAAAACCAAGAGTTGCTTGGTAGTCTAACAACTTTTGTGATGCAGATGCTTTGTGGTTCTGGATCTACCCTAGATCGGAGGCCATCTTTCCTCACCTGCTTCAGTACCACTTTCTTTAGGCAATCATTTAACTGCAAAGTTTTTCCATGCCTGAAAATAGGATTGCCCAAAATAGGTATAATCTACAAAGTTGGGTGATTTAAAAAATATAGTCAGTGTAATTTTAATACTAATTTGTTTCAAATTTACATATTGATTCTGCAAATTTCAGTTGCTACAATTGGCCTCTGGAATCTGATATCCCCCAAAGCACCTTGAAGACTTTAACTGACATTTTAAAATTCTCCCCTACTGGGCTAAATAAGTTACTGTCTGGAACGAATGAAACTTTTTTTCTCCCTCTTATACATGCTGAAATATGTTTTCCCAGGGGGGACAAAAATAAAACAAAAAACACTCAAACAACTGAAGTCAATTATATACTACAGAAATCATTCAAAAGAATTATAAAGTGGTGCTATTATAAAGCATTTGGGTCATTTTGGATTATGCCTACCTCCGTCTCTAGGTATTACCCGACATGTAAAAGTCTTGTGTTCTTAGGAGGAAAGAGACTACATTCACTAAATATATTTCTGTTACCTTAACAGTTAAAAGTCTGTTTTAACTATTTATTTTTTTCCTTCTCCAAAATGAGTGATTCTGCTTTCTATATCCTAGTAGAAACCATATGCATAGCGTAAATTAGAAAAAAAAAAGGTATAGTATCCAAAAAGAGGGCTGTGATGACTCGGTGCAGATTTATTTAGAAAGGGAGGCTTATATTCCATTTTTCATAAGTACTGATATGAGATTCCTTTTCCTAGAGACTTCTCTGAATGGATAGGAGAGCTCTGAGTTGTTAGATTATGGCCCCTGAATCACTCTGTGTTTTTAACCCTGAAAAGAAGTTTGAGGGTGAGCTTCCCTAGAAGGAATCTCACAAATCCTTCCCCTGCTCTACTGTACTTTTTCAGCTTGCCTCACTTCTTATAGCTTAGAAGAAAACCAATCACAATGTCTTCATCATTCTTGGCCAAGGACCACCATCTGCTTTTGGTTTAATGGTGAAGTTAGAATCTAGATAGGTTAATTAGCCAGTGATGCAATATTCTTCTAGACTAGTTTATGTTTGAATAATATTACTGAAATTATCCTATTTGTCAACATCAACAATGTGAAGGATGTGTAACTTATATCCCAAATGAGTTCAAAGGAGATATGTTACTGTACAACTGATTATATGACAGCTCTTCACAAGAGACTATGCAATCTGATTCTTTGAACTCATAGAAAAATTAAAATGTCATTTTAATTAAATCTCCTAGATGATAGAATTTTGAAGTTGGGGATGATATTCCATTTATCTGAGTGTTCCCCACAAAATACAGTGCTTTTAGTAGACACAGTTAGATAAAGGAGATTTGGATAGATGGACGGATTTACTTGTTCAGAATAGGAAGAAACAAATTTCTTTGGATTTTTTTTCTTTCTCTAAACTTTCTCTGCCTTAATAGATATTTTTATTCTAATTAAGTAATCTTATACTATTGACTCTAATTTGGTCCCAAAATTTTAACATTAGAAAGATGTATTTTTTAAAAATCTAAATGACTTGGGGTAGAATTTTCAAAAAAGGGGGACTTATATCTAAGTTTCCTAATTATTGATGTGAGGCCCCCTTTACTTGGAGACTCATCTCTGTCATTTGTTCCCATCCTTCATCTCATCAGGTATTCTTTCAAAATGATACATAATAATGATGGTTCTAGTACTGGATGCAGTATATGAAGAAAAGGAATTATATCAAGTATCAAAAGATTAGTGTGTTGGATAATAAAATAATTGCATGAGAAGATTTTTCACATTTATTTACAACTTTTGACCCAAGGACCTATCCATAAGCTTTGAATGTTTGTGTTTTTCTTTTTATTATACCAATTTTTGTGCAAAGAGTTACCTTCTACTTCATATAAATAGAGTCTCATACTAGAAATTCCATGGAATTCAAGCCAATCCTTACTCGCATTCCTTCTTATGAAGTATACGAACTGAACAAATTTCCTTGCGTAGCAAAGGTGATATATGAAGATAATGTGCTGGCCTCTCATCATAGTCCCTGGATACCATTGCAAGGTTCCTAATTTGCTTGGTTTGGCGTTTCCACAGTCTTTATCTTAGCTCTTTTTTAAAAAAATGTACTTAAATTAGTTAATTTGCTGGTTGCTTCCATATTGCTTGATTCAAAATCCAAAATGGAGTTCAGAAAAAGAACAAATAAAATTACAGCTTAAGTGCAAACTACATTTCTGAGTATCTGCCAGGTAGACATACCCAATCCAGTGTGTTTCTTCCAGTTCAATAAATTCCCTCATTGGACCAACCCTGAAAGTATCAGTAGTTTTCTTGAATCACACAGAACTGTCTCTTAGTTTCCCTTCTACTCTTCAGACAATCAATGGCCTATCAAGTAGTGTCATTTATGGAGGAAAAAAATGTTGAAAAATGTAAAAGATGAGGGTGAAGATAATTTGATAGCATGAAAAATGAGAGCTAAAATAAAAATATTAGCCTCCCTTTCTTATTTTAAAGATTGTATACTTAAAGTAGTGGCCATTTCACTATATTAAAATATTTCTTAAATTCTGTGAAGAAACTTTGATGTAAACATCTTTGCAATTAGAAATTAAAGCCAAAAATTGGGGAGCAAATATAAAGGAATTGGTCAGAGCAAAACAAAATGAAAAAAACCAAAAAGTCTTCGAAACATAATTACTAGTTATAACTTTGATGGAGATTTTTAAATTATGAAATTTGAGTTGGCCATTCTTACTTTCCAGGACAGAAACTGCTGGGGAAAGAAACTGGATTCTCAATTTCAAACACTATCATATGTTTGTTATAGAAAATGTTATTCTTTTATTCTAATGGAAACTTTATTATGATTTCCAGGGATGCTAAATATGCACACATCAGTTCCTGCAGATAGGAACAGATAGCATGGGTGTTCCAACCATCTGCTTAAAAAAAAAAAAAAAGAAAGAAAGAAGGAAAAATAAAAAGAAAAAAAGTGACAGCTAGTTTGATAGCAGGCGGTATTGCCTTACATTTTCTGGTCCTTCTCTAGCTGTTTCATTCTCCCAACCAACCCATGCAGAGAAATGAAGAAACATTGTGGTTCTGCCTATCTTTCTCTTTCAGTCTTTCCCTCTAATGTTCAAGTTAGATAAGCACATAACTATCATGGCATCTCTATCTTCCACTGGGAAGTGTCAAAACTACTGGCCTTGGGGTAGAAGGAAGACCACCAGAGAAAGACAGGGGGTAGGGAAATTGGAGCGGGTGTGTCTCTCCACCTAAAAACCACAACTGAGCTTACACCACAGTATTCCGGTGTCTGTAAGGTGGAGGCGGCAGCACAGTGCCTGGCTTTAGGGAGAACTCAGAGAGGTATTCCGGATTCTCTGCCACAATAGGCCGGATCCGCCCATTCTGTTTATAAAAATATTTTGTGCTGTACTCCTGCAGGTAGTCTGGGTGCTGAAGGGTGCTCCGAGGTGGCAGGCTGTGGTTCCAGTAGTCAGGGTTGTCAAACGCTTTCTTGGCCTTCTCTGGCACAGACAGTACATTGTTCTTCAGGTACTCAGCTTTTCCCAAGGCGTTGGCAAAGGTGTTGAGGTACAGCGGCTCATTCACATACTCATCCTCGGCCTTGGGTGGACCATTGGATGCACTGTGATATTCGGGATTATCCAATGCTTGAAGGTCTCCATTTTTTCTCCGAGAAACAAAAGGGTTCTCCTCCACTGGATTCAGGTATTCTAAAGAAATAAAAAAAAATCAGCTAACCTCTACTTTCTGGAAAATATTAATCAGAGCAAAGTTATACATAATGGTTAGCTTCTTTGTCTAGAACAAAAAACCACAGATTTGTTTTCATGATTTCTCACAACTATTTGTGGATTACCATGGTCTTATGAAAAAAAGAGTAACGGGGCCAAACATGTTTACAACAAAACAAGAAGCCAAGGAGGCCAGAATCGGAATTTCTATCTCCTAAATTTTTATTTCTTTCTAATTGCATTTGTCTCTTCTGCATATGGGGCTGATTGTTTCAATGTTTTTGTTTTCTAAAAGTTTTTTATATTAGGAAATAAGACTACCTATTAGAATTAAATAGCCTTTAAATATACAGACAGCTTAATTTCTATAAAGGATATTGAAAAACCAAAGAGTCTATAGCTGAGTTCCATGCCAAGATGAATAGATGGAGTGAAGAAATCATGTTTTATTAGTCTCTATGGTTTGCTATGGTTGCCTATACTGGTAAAAAGGATTTGATTGGAGATGCTCCTGACAAAAGTTTTACACATGGAAAAGAAAGCATCAGAGGAAAAAATTTCAACTAAAAAAGCAAATCTAACAGATAGCCAACATGCCTCTAGCTGACTTGCTTGACATTACATGTACTTCTACTTAATAATGAAGTATAATTATAATATTTCCATTGACCAATCATAATCACAAAATAGCAAACTATCAGCTTGAATCATATGAAATAGCCATTTTGTATATTGAAACCAGTCAATTAGTGCCTATTTTGTATGGATCAATCTAATAAATCCATCTAGTATAGGTGTTGGCCTAAACGGTGCTAATAATTACCACCATTCTCCTGACTCTTAATTCTACATCTATGTCTATAATATAAACTGCACATAGACATATACACATATATATTGTAGGTCCTCTAATAGTCCTCTCTTTTACTATATACACAAAGCCCTAAGCTATTCCTATTTTGAATTCAAGGCATCAGGAGGACACAATTCCTTGTTGAGAGGCCATTGTGAAACAAACTTTCTATCTCTTATCCTTAGCCCAACAAGTACAGAGAAAAATTCTATTAAGCCAGGATTATTTTTCCCCAAATGTATATATACAGAATAGGTAAGTATGTAGCATCATTTATTCAAGTGAAAGGGCAGTAATGAATATCCCACTATCATATATAGGACTTTATAAGACATTTCATCCTCACAATTCTGTGAAAAAGAAGTACAAGACTTATTTTTCCAGCTTTGTAGACAGAAAAATGAGATTAAGTGATGTATGCAGGATACAATTAGTGTTGGGATGGAATTCAGGTCTTCTAACTCCTCTTGAGTAATCTTGTTCTACTGCACTGTTTGTTATTATTGCCCCTGCAGGAGTTGGGTGAACGTTATGCTTAGCCACAAGTTTTACTTTGACAAGTGTATGAAAACACTTATAAGCAATGTAGAATTTGATCTTTCTTACCAGATTTCTAAAACTTCTTAATTGAAAGAATAGGAATGTCTGTACTAAAATTCTGTACTCTCTGAGTACGAGGTGAGACTATAGCAATCTTTTATAGAAATGGAGCTTAGTGTTCAGAGGTAAAATCTGAAAATACAGTGTGACTATATAGGGTGACTTGCTTTTTCCTTAGCCTTACATTACCTTTCCTCAATGCGATCTACTTATATATTATACTGATGCAAACTTGTATAGCTGTCCAATAACTTTACGGTTGAAGTGAAAATGTCCCCAGAAAAGATTTTTCTTTGGGGTGAATCCACCAAATCTTCATAACATCTACATTTGTGTCATTACTAGGCTACTATGAACATCCAAACTCTTCATTAAATTTTTATATGTATAGAAGTTTTATATATGTAAAAGTTTTATCTAGACAGATATATTTTAAAAGGTTACTTACAATTAGAGATCTTTAAATTTTACTTTGAAGGAGAGAACATAACCTTACAACAAGCCCTTCTCAGAGTTTTAAAATGTAGTTTACTATTGACACTAAAGACTGCGAGAGACATGATCATCATTTTTTAATAACAATCATCTATCTTCCCTGTTGTGATACTGTTAGCATAGAAGAAGAAAAGCTGCTTTGTTGCAATATTGAAGCATTATTTGATTTGGGTGCTTAACATTTCTACTACTAACTTTACAAAATTATTGTTATGCTTTGTAAAACCACAAACTATTATTTTCAAATCTTGATGGTATGCTTGTAAGTATATACAGGGTCAAAACTTTAATTTTTGAAAAATGTCATATAAAAACATAGTATTTTCCTGTAATAAACTAGGTTGTTTAAATGACATCATTTAAATGAGTCAAATAAATCATTTATTAGTGCCATCAAAAGCATCAGGCACATTTGCCAACAATACCAGTCTTTATGATCTCCACAATTAAGTCCAATAAAACTATGGTCCTGACACTTTGTGGTCTGCTACCTCATTCAAATGTTTCAACAAAATATGTTTAAAATAGTGCTTCTCAAGGCTCATTGCTGTATGCAGATAGCCTGGGGATCTTGTTAAAATTCAGATTCCTATTCAGATGGGGCCTGCCTGAGATTCTGATTTATATAAATAATAATAAATAATGTGGATGCTGCCGATTCAGGGACCATACTGCAAGTAGCAGTAGCCTAGGCCTTTACTAGGTCACAAATGTTGTGCTGTACAGCTATCTGGCCATGTCCATTGTGTACTTTGTTTATCTTGATGGAAGTGAACTTCAAATGGCAATCATTTTTGAATAATCAGTTCGTACCTTGTTTGGGTTTGTCTCGCATAGGAGTCATGTAACCTTCCTCATCCAGCTCTCCTCGTGGGCTCCGTTCTGGGGCAAACACGGTGGGGTCAGCGCTGTACCTCTGGGTGCTACTGTCCTCTTGGACATGGGGTGCCACTGGCTTGCGTAGGGTGCCATTACAGCAGGAGTCATCAAAAATCTCAGCTGTAGCACCCTGTGCAACAGGAGCTTCTGGAATTGTGCTAGTTGGGGCTCTGTAGGGCACAGACACTCCTTGTTCTGCAGCAAAACCTCCATCTCGGTATACAAACTGATTCTGTTAATAAGAGAAACATATTTAGAGAGAAGGTGTTGTTAGAAATAGTTTAAAAATGAATGTTAATAGTCACAAGGATGTCAAAGCCAGTCTTTTAGAGAATAGTCATAGTATTTATTTATTTTTCCCTAGTGGCTAATGAATTTGAGTTACAAACTAGAAACACCTAAAATTTCTGCTTTTCTTAAAAGATAAATCATCAGAAAATAATTTTGAAGTACACATTTTAGTTTTATTAACCAACTGTAACACAATCTAATAAAAAGTATTTGATGCCCTTTTCCCACAAGTGCCTATATTTAATATAAACTTCAAAGTGAATTTTTATGATAAATGGGAGTGTCATTAATTATAGACAGTTGTCATTAAGAACAGAGGTACATGGATATATTTTGAATAATCCTTTGTCTTTATCGCCTTCTAAAATTCTGTAGTTATTATGAATTTGAGGCTCTAGTACCTAACTAGAGGATCATCACTGTAATTCTGACTTTCTTAGTGCATGACCTATACTCAGGGAAGTAAAGATCACCTCCACATCCAGAAGCATAATTTATATGCGCAGGTAAATCCTTCAGATAAAAATTGAAAGCTACTGTTGATGCATGAGATCTCAATTTCGGATTATCAACTGAGATAAAAACACATCTACAAAGGCAGCTACACAATGTACAGCAAATTCTTAACTCACTGTTGGCAAAGGCAAAATGAGGAAATTGTGCAGAGACAAGAGAGAGGAAACATGGTAAGCAAAGACCAAAAATCCTAAAGGATGAAGGTTGATTGTGAAATACTTACTCCTGACATGGGGGTGTAGGCAGGAGGAGGGCTGTGTCCAATTTCACTCTAATAGGAAAGAAAAATGGAATGATGGATATAATAAGAGGCAATATGAATGAAAAAATTAAAAAAAGAAACGAAAAAGAAAAGCCACATGAGTCGTATGAACCAAAGGGGGAAAAGTGCACAACAGTGAAGCTTCATAAGCAGTAAGATTGTCTGTATTCTGACCATAAGCAAGCTTATTTATATGTTTTGAGGAAAATAAATATTTTAATTCAATCCCTGAAATGGCAAATTATACAGAAAAAGCAAAATTTTTGAATGGATTAGAAAGTAAATAATAAACTTTCTTCTGATTAACCCTACTGGAAGGGAAAAAGTAGTAAATGAACTATAGATGTAAATGGGAAATGATTTCCTTCTTTACATGTCAAAAGATTGAAATGGCCATATACTCTGCTGTTATTTTTTCTCTTAGAATAAATAGTTTCTGGAAGGAGATAGCAGGAGATTTCGATTTGCCTGCAGTAATTTTTGCTATCAAGCTACATTTATTTTTCACCACTTCAGCAAAGGGTAAACTCCTTTGCCTCTCCTTATTAAAAGGTATATGCTATTTTATCTTCAGTCTTACATTTTTTTTAAGTTAAGAAACAGCAGAAAATTTGGAAAATCAATTCATTTCCTGGAAACATGCTTTAGATTCCCCTTATATATTTATAATGAGTCAAAATCAGATTTCAGTTAAAGAAACAACAACAAAAATACATGTGTATTTTTATAGCTTAACACTCCATCCTATGGGCTAACTGAAAGAGGGTATAAAAATATAATAAAATATGAAGGACAGTGTTCCTCAGGGTAAGGAAAAGGAGTTGTATGATACTAATTCTGTTTCTTAATAAAAAAATACATTAAACACATTTTTTGAGAACCTACTGTCTATGTGCCAGGCACTTTTCTAGGCACAGGGATAATGTAAAACACAGACCCAAACCGCTTAATTTTATGAAGCTCATATTCTCTACAATCCAGCTTTAAGTAAACAGAGATGACTAAAATCAACCTCTAAGATACCTTACATCTTTTTTGTTTGTTTGTCTTTTTGAGATGAGTCTCACCCTGTCACCCAGGCTGGAGTGCAGTGGCAGGATCTCGGCTCACTGCAAGCTCTGCCTCCCGGATTCACGCCATTCTCCTGCCTCAGCCTACCGAGTAGCTGGGACTACAGGCGCCTGGCACCATGCCCAGCTAATTTTTTGTATTTTTAGTAGAGATGGGGTTTCATTGTGTTAACCAGGATAGTCTCGATCTCCTGACCTCGTGATCCGCCTCCCTCAGCCCCCAAAGTGCTGGGATTACAGATACTTAACATCTTTTATATGAAACAGATAAATATTATTCCAGGTCACTGTTCATATGATTTAGATTCACGAAGCATTCTAAGAAGAATATGGTCCCATGGAGATTAAGTATTTAAAGTACATCAGTAACAACTGGATAATATAATCTTCCTTAACTAACTTAGTCTGCTGGACTAATCAAGGGACACGGTCTGAACCCCTATAGTGAGTTTATGTTTTAATTTTCCCCATAACTATGGTGGCATTAGAATATTTATCTATTTTCTTCTTTAGTAACATAACTAACAACACACCAAAGATTATGACATGGAAAGTCAGAGATATATTTAATATGCAATACATAGGAGGTGCTACTGTGCAACAGACAGATCGTTTAATGACCTGGGCTTTAGTTCCAATGATAAGTGGTGTGAATTTGGTGAATCATGAAACATCTCAGACCCTCGTTTTCATTCTTGGCCTCTCTATTTTATTATTAATAAATATGAAGTAAGATAATGCATATAAATGAACTTTGTAAACTCTGCACTATTATAAAAATGTAAAGAACATATCACATTTAAATATTCATATCCACTAAATTGAATTTCTAAAATAAAGCAATCAGGATGCCAAAGCTACTCATCAAAGAGGCATTTTAAAATGCTCATCTATTCTCTAATCATCTTAAATATAGGCATGTTTTACTATATTTTAGAAATACCGGAAATCCAGTACATTTGTTCTTAAAATTTGAGGAAATAATTTTTTACAGTCCAGTGATTTGTAATATAGAGTGACAGTACAGGAAATATGGAACTGCCTGGTGGAACTTCACCAAACTACAAACACTGGCCTTACCTTCTTCATTAAACACGAATTATTTGGCAAGTACTTCACAAATATTACTAAATCTCTACAGTAAAAGTACAGGCACTGTGGTAGATGCCAGCGATACCACGATATACTAAGAAAGACATGACCACTGTCCTTTTAGAATTTACACTATCGATTATAATCTGAGATTGTTGGAAGAAAAGGCAAGAATGAAACAAGGCAATTTATTTCAATTCTATGATTCTATATTAGAATGCAAGGTATTCCGAAATATTCATAATTACTAGTGCTCCTTTGACCTCTTACCTTGCAAAAGGTGCTGTACTGGGTGATGTTTGACTAGAATTACAGCTGAGAAATGAGTATTGATTGCACATTTTGCACTTTACAAAACCTGAGACATAAACAATCAAAGGAACAACTTACAAGTCATTCTTCATCGGGGAACAGTTTATTATCTATATTCATTATCTGGGCTAGAATGGCTTCCATTGTAAAGGAAATGGATTAAAATAACTGGGACTCTTGCGGTTAGTCTGTTCCAAGACAGAAAGCGGGGCCGTGCCCTATTAGAATGCATCCACTGTCCCTGCTTTGACAAGTCTTTCAGTCAGCAACCTGCCAACTCCATATCTGGACAAACTGCCAAATAGCATCACAGTAATAGGAGCATCTTCATGAATTTTCCTGTTTTCAGCATTAAAATGGAAAAAAATGCTAAGCAAAACCCCTTTAGCATTCATTGTTTTTAGGGTTACTGGCTGCTTTTTATGTTTCTGTTTCCATTTTTTCAGTTTGCTTTTTTATCTGTTTTCCATGATAAAAAGCACCTCATTCATTTCCCCGTGGAAGGGCAATGCAGCTCCAAGGGAACATCTGTGAGGCCAATTAGCTGGGCTGGAAATGTGATATAATTGTTGTTTAAATATATTTAAATTACATGTTAATCACGATGTCATAATTTATAAGCTTTGAAAATAACTTTTTGTACTTCAGAGCCAAGCCAGATTTTACTTGTTTTTGCTGTTTTTAGTTTGAAACAAGCTCTTCTCATTTCTCTCTCCCTCAATTCCCCACACTTGAAGAGCTGAACTTTTAATATTGGAAAGAATGACAGCTGCAAGTAAATTGGTTGAGTAAAAATTAAGATCCTCACAGCAGTCAAAATGAGCTGGAGTGACCTTAAAGTTCTAAGCAGAACAAAGCAATGCTCTCAGTTAAAAGCTTTTGTTTTTCCATTGTGCTACTTTCTGCTGTCCATCAAAGTCCAGCTTTGCAGATCTTTAGGAAGCAGCACTGGGTGCATCTGTTCAATTAGCTGGTGAGGCAATTTACTGTCAGCAGGGCAGAGATAGAAAGAGGTGGGTTATGAACTGGCAGGTGACACTGAGTTTGTTCCTGGTGGGGGGCGTTTGTAAGGGTGATGGATGGAATGAGTTTAATTCTGTGGCCATATCACTGGGACATTGTATGATTAACTTGGATTTAAATGCCAGAGATTACAGAGAAGGCAAGTATCAGCAAATAAATCAAATACAGTATTAAATGCACTTTTAAATACATCATGTTCTAAAATTTACTTTTTTGTTGAATGATAAATATTAGAACCTTTGTCACATTTTATGCACAGTAGTTCTTATATTTGTATTGTTTATATTGTTCCTGAGAAATTTTAACTATTAAATAGATGGACTGTATCTCGTGATATTTAAAAAAGTTATTATACAAATCTACTTTCAGAGGAAGCAAAACAAAAATACAGGCCTAATGCCTAGCTTCTATCTAAATTAAACATGTGATCAATGAGAGTCATTTTCTAATCTTTAAATAACTATTACTTTCAACAGTAATTACAAGATTACAATTTCTAGGTTCAAGAAATACTCCAAATTCTTTTGACTAAAATAAAATGTCTCTGTAAGACGGTGCTAATCCATCAGCACTAATTTATTATCTAGACACTTCCACATAGTAACTATTAAAGGTTCTCAACCTTTTATCTTCCCTGACATACCTGCTTAACACTCTGATGGGCATTTCCACACTTTCACAGGACACACAGCAGCATACAGAAAATGTTTATTGCATTATGTTATAATTATTGTATTATAAATTATAATTCCTGATGCATGGTTGTAACTCTGCATCTTTCTCACAACTGAGTTCAACATACCAGTGTTTTGAGACATTTAGATTTAGAACCTTCATTTTTCACAGGGCAATCAGAAGGAAACAAAGAAAATGTGTCCATATGTGCCAAACCCAAAAATGGCTGGGAGAAGTCTATTGAGATTTCAGCTGCTGGCTGAATTTTATATATATTACACATAATATCTTTTGTCTATTTATGTATACATATATTTATTTACTCATTTTTCTATTTGGTTTGATTCTGTGGGACTCTACTTTTTTGAACAATCTCTCTTACTCTGCGCGCACACACACACACACACACACCCCCAATAATGACTCTATGGTCCAGTTGAAGAAATATTGACTTGGGCTCTTATACTTTTTTGTTGCTGTTTGTTTGTTTGTTTTTCGAGACGGAGTCTCGCTCTGTCACCCAGGCTGGAGTGCAGTGGCGCGATCTCGGCTCACTGCAATCTCTGCCTCCCAGGTTCAAGCAATTCTCTGCCTCAGCCTTCCAAGTAGCTGGGATTGCAGGCTCCCGCCACCATGCTTTGCTAATTTTTAGAGATGGGGTTTCACTATCTTGGTCAGGCTGGTCTTGAACTCCTGACCTCGTGATCCACCTGCCTCGGCATCCCAAAGTGCTGGGATTACAGACGTGAGCCACCGCGCCTGGCCAGCTCTCATTCTTTATTCACTCATTAATCTTGGAACTTTTCATCTTTTGTATATGTCTCATGTACTCAATTA